TACTTTGATTTATCGCCTTATAAGAAGTGATTACATAAGCACACATTGTGCACATGCACAGTGTGTGACTCTGTTTGTTTTCATTTTGGCACAGGCAGCTTTTCTATTTTTTGGTTATTTTTTGTTTTTGTTTTGTTTCATCAACCAGTCAAACCTCTTGGAAGAATGTATTGTACCATAGGTTACTACTTTCACCTTTCCCCTCTGTCAGTGCGCCCCAGGGCAGCTGTGGCTACAATGTAAAGAAAAATAAAAATAAAGCAACTGAATATTCATGAAATTGCATGCCTTAAAGTTTTACGATTTTGTTTAACTCAGCACTACACTGATATTGTACAAAGGACAAAATGATCTCCTTCCAAACTATATCCAGAGGTTGTTTGAAATTAGAGGAGAAAAAATATATATCATAAAAATATATCATATGTAAATATGTGATTATTGCTCAAATGAAAAATCAGTGGGGTAAACTTCTATAGTGATTGTGATGAGGAATTAAGATTGCATTGTTCATCATCTAAATTTTTAAAAGTGTTTCAAAATCAGGTGGTAAAGAAATCTAAAAACGAGATGCAATATGAATTCCATTGTATATGAAACTTTTGTTTTTCTCCCAGTTCAATATCAGTTGTTCAGTGAAATATTTGTTTGGTGAAATCTAGTTAACCATTTAAATTATGTTGTAAGTATGTAGGTATATGAGGCTTCAGTTGGTAATTCATTTGTGTTCTTCCCATTTAATTTAATCCCTGACTGTCAGTATTTACTTATTTATTTATACAACCTCACATTTTGTTGTTTTCAAGAAGAAAGGACTGAAGTTTACACACACACACACACACACACCTCAAGTCCAGAGGAGTCAGCTGAATGGGAAGAACAAGATCTGGTCAGTTATCACCTACGACCTGCCGGTGATCATATATCCCCTGCTGGGATAATAACCTAGCCAAAGGAAAATATGGAAACCACTGAAATCAAGACAAGGAAGCTCCTTATGGGGGGTTTCACACTAAATCAAGCACCCTGAGCGCCATCTAAGATGGGACAATGAACATTGCCCTTATGAAGTCAGTCACTGTACAAAAAAGGTTATGCTCAATGTTAAAAGTAATGCAATTGAATAGAGGTTTGACATATTATCTATTATCTATGTCTAGGTAACATGCTCCACCTAGACTGGTTCCTGATCAACTGTAATTTTTGCTGACAGTAAAATCAAACTGACAAAAGATACCACTCCCACATTACTCTCTTTTGGCTGACATACTAATCCTGCTGTCATTAAACATATCTACAGAGGTAATTTTAGTCATGCAAGTAGATGCTTCTTATTAACAGAATGAGCATTAGTCATAATCATTGTTAACAGGTACCTCTATTAGAGCACCTTTCATCAAAGCACTTCTTACTCTGTTGACTTATCTCGAAAAAGTAACTTAAGGTCAGTCAGATTTACAGTATGCTTAGCATGCTCCAGGAAGTACTGTGCCTTCTACCATAGCTGGTGAACAATGTACTGCTGTAATGACCTAATGCAAGAAAACAACAAAGCAGCTTAATTTGAGTAAGTTAGCTGTACCTCAATGTCATAGCTTAATTGTTTAACTTACATTTGATACACTGAGCATGTGTTTTTATCCAGAGTGACATAAAACTGTGTATTGTAATGATTAAAAAAAGAGATAAATGTATCAGATTCACATTAACATGGCAATATGGATCCATCCTGCCTCGTTTTAATTGTTCAGGCTGATGTTGGTGGTGTAATATTGCAAGGAGACTACAGGATGATGGTATCATGAAAAACTAAGGCCTGTAGCTTTATACAAGAATCACACATTACAATTTCAGACAAGTGTTTTTTTAATTTAAACTGGCTACAAGAAAACATTTTCCACTGCTAAAGCACAAGAGCATTTAATTAAAAAATATTTTTTTCTTTGCTTTTTGTATAGCAAACACACAAGATGACCACCTATACTCAAAACATACTCATGTTTTTAATTAGTGATTGACTTTTTTATTTTTCTTATAAGATATGTTTTGCTGAAGCAAAGCAAACAGCTATTTTATAGCAAGCGCAGAATTATTTTTGTTTGGCAACCTAGTTTCAAGGTTTAATATCATGTCAGCTTGACATTAATCCCCTCAAAGTTTAATAAGCAGCATTTCTGGTCAACCATTATAATGATAGACATATAGTACATATAAAGTACGTATTCAAATGTCATCAATGAAAAACTACTTTCCAAGCTAACATATAAAGAAATTAATAAGTGCAGTACAATATATATTCTTCACAGCAGTTCATCACAGGTCCAAATTATATAAAATAGACACAGAGGCATGCCAGCAGCAGAAGACATAAGAGAGGTCGAGAAGCACTGGATGCAGATTCACTGGTCCCGCGGCCACTGGCAGGGGCTGTGTGGGCCGATACACATTGAAATATCCTGTTTGCTTGGGGAACATCTTGATCTAGTGGATAAGAATGAAAGAAATCCTTTAGGACACATTTAATATTCACTTGAAAAAAGTCATATCATTATTTGATGTATATGTTCCTGCACTGGAATGTACGCCCTGGTTTATTGTTGCAGAAGTGTAGCCTGTTATGTAATCTGCTAGCTGTTGAAGCCTGTCATGGATGTCTCATAAGAGTTGATGAAGAGGTGAAATCACATGATACATGTACAGATTACCAAAGATTGTGTTGAACTGCTGAAGACAGTCACATGTTTTTCCTCTTCCTGCCTTCCTAGGGCCAGTGAAAATTCTGTGTTTTTTTATTCAGCTGCTTCAAGCGTGGACTGTGAATAATCCAGTATTTTAGTACATAACAGTCCATCTCGGAACTGAAACCCAATTAAGTGCCTTAAGACAGAATAAAGTGAAGAATGTGCATCACAAAAATCTCAAATGATCACTTGGATAAGATTTGTGATCCTCATTTCTTACAAAACTCCATGAAGAAGCTTTCAAGATCAGACAAGCTGATTACATTACTGTAATCATTGTTAAAATTTTGACAAACCGTTCTATCTTTACTCTCGCAGTCTCAAGTCTCCAAGGTTTGAAAAGTGATGTGTTGGTTTCAGGTGTCACATTAAACTTTTTTCCGTCCAATAAGTCCATCAGTGAGAAAAGGGTAACAAACTGCTGCAGTACGCTTCAAAATGTATATATATACTATGCTAATCAATGGGAGGATGCCCACTGTGTATAAACAATGAACATATATAGGAGAGACACACAACATGGTTGCTGGACCTTTTTCAGAAACATGGTATTCAAAATAGAGGCATCAATAAGAGCACACCAGATAACTGGTAAAATCAGTATGTATAGCTACATTTATTCTACTCTTTGATATAGCACTCAGGCACCTACAGAGCACAGGCTCAATGCAAAGGGGAAATAATTGAGCCTGATTTAACCTTAACACTTACAGTGCTTAATAGATAGATTAATTAGACCACCGTCCAAAGCACAGCTGCCTTAAATTAACAATACTGATAATTATAAACAGATTCTTTAATGTTTCTGTAATGGTTAATCCACCAGTATCCACAAACGTTTGAATCAAAATGACATTTTTAAAGACAAAATATAATTATTAATTTTTAAATATACTGTTTTACAAAAGAATGGAGAAAAAAGTAAAGGACATAATTATTATTTTTGTTAAATATGCCAAATCTAAGTTATTTATTCACTCCTGAAGAGAAAAATCAGCTTAAGTGGCTCAATGTGATGTTTGATTAATTTCTGATTTCTCCATGAAGTTTAGTGTGCCAGCTGCAACTTCAAACCTATTTAGTTCAAATTAAAACTGAAACTACTCAAATAAAACAAGCAAGAAAACAATATGAAATCATATATTTGCTCCCAGAGGATGGAAGAAGTGAAGAAATGGTGTCCAACAATTGCTTTATAATAAGCAAAATCATCAGACATATTACACAGTTCAGATACTCAGTTTAGGAAATGTTTCACAGAAAATAGAAGACCTTTTTGTCGAGTATCACATATTTTTATTTTTTATAGTCCAGAAAAATCACCCTTAGTATCTATTACTCCTCTGAATAATCTAGACAAAATAAAAGTGAACATATAAGCAGGGTCTTATGCAAAGCACTCTGTGTTGGTGCAGTGACGGGCCCCTTACTGCCACAACTTATTTAAACTCTGTTTTTTGTTTAAAGTTAATAATTTGTATTATCATTTATGCAATCTTATGGATTTTCTTTTATTACCGAACAGACAACCCAGCCCCCATATCCAGTATTTAGGTCAAACAAAGCTGATGGTTTGAGCTTCATATTCAGATGACATTTTTGAAAATGATATCACCCACTCTCCTGCATTTCCTGTGACACTATTTATTTAAATCAGTGCATTGTATAGTTGTAGGGCCCTAAGAAACAAACTAAAGTCACTGACAGTGAGAATGAACCTTTCTATTTGTGTGACACATCCTTCAAAAATAATGATACACATGCCTACAGACAAGTACCTATTTGCAGTCAATACTACAGTGATCGTGTCCACAAACTATTATCAAATAAAATAAAACAATTATACACAAAACATTCACAAATCACAGTTAATAATTATTACATGATTAGTAATTACACTAGTCAGTCAACAGCAGAGACAAATTTATAAAATCCAATAATCAATGTCCATCATTCATATGTCAACTTATTACAAAATATTGTTAGGTAAAGGTACAGAGATTTGCAGTTTTTTGTATCACACGGGCAGCATGTCTGTTACCTGGCAATGTTTAATGTCACTCAGTCTTGTGTTTGTACACACATCACTTTGGTAAGTGAATCTACACAAAAAGGTTTTCTGTCCTTCATGTCCTCACACATTCATCACTATGCTTCATTAGGCCCAGTTCTCTTCTTGTTTATGCAGAACAGAAATACAGCAAACACACAACACCTCCTTTTTCCAAAACATTAAAGACCATGGCGTGTTACGGACTGAACATATATAGGCAAATGAAAGTGATTGTTTATCATGACAAATAATGACTGTGTGGATCAGTGAGAGACTTGATCTTGACATGACAACATTTGTGACTTTGACAATTTGTTGCCGTTTGTTGTTGGGGTTTTTTTTTTCTTTTATTTGCCAAATCTCTGACAAATGAACAAAATTTGTTTTCTAACTAGCGGGGAATCTCAAAAAGATCACACTATATCTTACCAATTTAGATAAAAATGTATTGTTTTATTTCAAAAATATTATCACATGGAATTTTCCGATGTTTACTTCTGAGTACACTATATTAATTTTTCCTATTTACTTTGGTTCATTTGTCACAATGAGTACTGCTTTAAAGCAGCCATGCCTTACCTCTTGGTCTGTGGCAGTCTGTTGACAAAATAAGCACGGCGGTTTTGGTTTGAGCTTAAAGACAACAAACTGCTAACAAAAGAGACAAAAGGGTCCCTGTTTGATTGACAGGTTTGAATGTTTACTTGTTAGAAAAGATTTTTAAAATGTTGGTATCAAGTTTCGGCTTTGATTTGGACCATTTTTCCCTTTTGGTAATTTGATTTTTTTTATACAAGTTTCTGTGTGTTATGGAAGACTAAGTGCCTGAATTACCCCTTGAGGAATATAAGTCATGACATCTGACATTTGCACATGTGCCTTACTGCCTTTCGGTTCGGATTGTTTACCAAATCTTTAACCCACAACTTCCCTTTCTGAACCCAATTCTTTATTGTGAACCAATCAGAGTGTAGCAATTGAATCACAGAAGCTAAAGGATGCTCATGATGCACAAATCAGCTACGCTGAACACATTTTTATCAAAAGAACAACAATATTTACTGGATAATGAAAAAACAGGTAATACAATGTTTTAGCATTAAATTATACTCTAACAGGATGCAAGACAAAAGAACTCAAAAAGGACACAACCTGAGAAATTGCAAATTTTCATAATGTTCATGTTCCTTTTGGCCTCTACTGCAGTCATACTATAGACTATAAACACTTCTGCTTTTGCCATTTATATGTATTTTATATATATTTTCTTGTCTGCATGATTCATGTCATCTCAAGTGTGTCAACCTTTATATATCTTTTTATAACAATAAAAAGACAAAAGAAGAGAAAAAGGCAGAAAGAAGAAATCATATTTGCAAAACCTGTGCACACTGATTTTTTCCTGTTCTTCTTACAAGAAAGCTTTAAGTATGATTTAAAACATAAATATTTCTTTGCTTTTGTTTCATGAAAAGCTCATGTTTGATGTGGTGAAGTCAGGGGAGTAGTTTCCCACATAAGCAAATTAACATAATTCCCAGGGAGCTCAGAGCAGAGAGGCAACAGTCCTGCAAAAACAAAAGCACAACTATGTATAAAGGCAACAGTGCAACAATAATGCATCTAAAAATATCTCTGTGTTTTTAAATGTGAATAGTCTTACTGCAAGAGGGATCCAGTTAGCTCATCAACAAGACCACCTGAAAAGAAATACAACATTTATGTCAAACCAAAGTTAATTAAATCTGTGAACACACATCAGTACACCCACAGAAACACAACTAGCATTTACCCGGTGTGCAAACTGTGTCACAAAGAATGGGACAAATGTAGCAGGTTGAGCAACCCTGGAAAACAAAACAAACAAAAAGAGAAAAGGATTAACACAAAGAGGCACTAAGTGAAACAAAGTGCTGTGTATTATTACAGCAGTTATAATCCTTTTATGTCAAGATGCTTGCTTGGCAGTGCTCGCAGTGATCAGACTCGTCTCCTTCCTCACACGGGCACTTGGCACAGTCATTAGAGCAATGCTACAAGATGGGAAGGAACCACAACGTAGAGTGATTAACCGTGCATATGGTATATAGTCAGGACAAATTAACAACGCAGGACTTATAATCATTTGTAGCAGGTTACTGAAATTATGTAAAACCCAACTCTAATGTGTGATTACTGGGCAGATATGCAAATAAAATCTGTTATTTCCATGATATGTTTTTTTACCTCACAAATGGAGCAAACACTACACAAAGATCCAGAGTGGAACTGTGGAGTGTCAGCAGCTCCCTCCTCTTCATCTGAGTCACTTTGGTTGTCCTTTGTGTCTTTACCTTCAGACTCATCTGTAAATGGTTCAGGAAATCATCTTTATCGGAAATGTATTTTATTCAGTTCAATTCAGTTTTATTTATAAATGGTCAAATCACAATAACACTTTCCCCAAGACGCTTTATATTGTAAGCTAAAGACGAGGGAAAGCCCCAATAATCAAATGACCCCCTATGAGCAAGTGCTTTGGTTACAGTGGAAAGGAAAATTTGCCTTTTGACAGGAAGAAAGCAGAACTAGGCTCATTCAGCAAACTGCCACAACTGGTTGGGGGTGAGGGCAGGAAGACAGGCCAAGACACGCTGAGGAAGAGAGTCAAGTGTATCTTGTAGAACATTAAATTGTCTATGTAAAGAAAAAAAAGATGATCATAACTCCACGTGTCTTTCTTCATTATTTAACCTCCTCTTTAACATCAAATCACAAAATTAATTTAATGATCTGGTCAGCAAAAGATCTTTTAGATGCAAACATTAGATATTAGAGTCAGGATTTGTCAAATGTTGCAGTAAAATGCAGCTCAAAAATGTATCAGAATGTATCTTATGTCAGACTGCTATGTTACTGTATAGCACTGAGACATACATGTGGGGTAGAAAATGCATAGGTAAGAATTTATTATTGTAAATGACCCACGGCAATGCTTTTTAGTATCTCTTTCTTTATTACGGTTGCTGTTGCAAACACACGAACGGCTGCAGCTCTACAGCTGCCAGCCGCACAATCATCACCAACAACAACAACAACTACAGACAGGCATCACAGCTTCTTATTTTGACGAGGAGTTTTGCATCCATCTCCCCTGCAGCGGCACCGCAGACCACGCCCCCCCCAGAATTACAAAAGCAAGTAATGCCATGTAATCATATTTGTCCATTTCATTAGGTACACCTGTTTAATTGCTGTTTAATACAAGGATTGACACCTGGAAAGTATACACAGCGCTTCACTTCTTACACATTTTGTCATTTTACAGCCTTATTCGAAAATGGATTCAATTCATTTTTAACCTCAAAATTCTACTAATAACCTATAATGAAAAAGTGAAAGTATATTGCATGAAATTCTTGCAAATTTACTCAAAATAAAATACAATAATATAAAATTTAAAGAAGTATTCACAGCCTTTGGTCAATATTTTCTTGAAGCACCTTTGGCAGCAATTACATCTCATAGTTCCTGCTGCCGAAAAACATCCCCACAGCATGATGCTGCCACCATCATGCTTCGCTGTGGTGATGCTATTTGCCAGCTGATGAGCAAGGTCTGGCTTTTACTGAGAAGTGGCTTCTGTCAGGCCACTCTACCATATAGGCCAGACTGGTGGAGCTCTGTCAGAGTTACTATTGGGTTCTTGGTCACTTCCCTGAAAGAGCTCAATTTTCAGTGTCATGTCAAAGACTGTGAATGAATATAATCCGTTTTGGAATAAGTCTGTAACATGACAAATTCACTTCACTATTCATTCACTCTCACATTCACACACTGGTGGAGGCAAGCTACAGTTGTAGCCACAGCTGCCCTGGGGCAGACTGACATGTGGAACAAGTAAAATGCTGTGAATACTTTCCGGGCGCACTGTATCAAAACCTCAGTATTCACATGGGTTTCCTAATTGCTGTGCTGGTGCTGGAGTAAACTTTATTTAATTGAATTGATTTTAATACATCTTGCAGTAATTTGCAACCTCATTCAACAACACTCATATCTGCAAGTTACTTTAGTCGCTTTTTTGCCATTTTTGCAGTTAACCGCAGACATTACAAGCAACTTTAGGCCATATTTTTTTCTTTTTTAACTACTGAGTCTGTACTGACATCAACCCCCCTGTGACAAGTCTGCTCACTGGCAGCCCAGGTTATGTGTTAGTCAGTCCGTCTCTGTACTAACAAGCAATCCAAGAAATGCTTTTCTAGCAAGGTCTGATTACTGCCATTTATTGAGAAGTTACATGACTAACTGTGTAATTCTGTTTGGTGCAATATTTTTTTGTATGTATGACACAGACAGTCTCTTTTTTGTATTATACTTCTGTCATAACATCATGTGACATGTTCGTTTTTACAAAATAGTCTAAGTAGCTTTAGTGTAAACAAAGCTAAAATTCCTACAGGTCCCATTTGTTGTCATTCTTTTTCTAGCATGAAGCAATGACTGTGCTTTTAAAATGTGCCCTAAACTGTATAGCACCCTCTTTTAGACAAATCTCCAAGTATTTAATGTTTGGTGTTTGAAGTCTCAAAAGCTACATTGGCACAACAAATGGAATAGATGGTTTAGATACTGTTGGGTTCCTACCACACAGATAATCCAGTCTATTTTAGGACTGATATGTATGACGGTGTTCCTAAAGTAACCCCAGTAAGCTGAACAATGACAGAGAGCTACTGTAGAGTACAGATTTACTCATGGAGTTCTAAGAAAACTCATTATTTCTTGTAACTAATATTTAAATACTGCATCATTCAGTATCTAAACTATTAATAAGTTTCAAAATGTGTATGGGTTTAAAAAAAAGTGTTTTCACCATCTTCATCTTCAGAGTCATCCTCATGTGTATCCTCTTCAGCACTGTCAGCCTCCTCTTCCTTATCTCCTTGAGTTGCTTTATCGTCATCCTCTTCTCTTGGTTCCTCCTCGTCATCTTCCTCATTATCAGCTGGGACTTCCTCATGAACCTCCTCCTCGCGATCTGCATCTTCATCTACCTTCTCCTCGCCATTCTCATCTGTATCTTCATACACCTCCTCCTCTTCATCTTCATCTGCTGCATATTCTTCTTCAGATTCTTCCTCTTCTGCATCATCCTCATCTTCCTCATCAGAAGCCTCACCTTCTTCTTCCTCTTTCTTATCAGTCTTGTCATCTTCCTCCTCAGCTTCCTCCTCTGCTATCTCCTTCTCATCCTCCTGTTCTTTTTTATCTTTTTCTTCTTCCACTTGTTCATCAGTCTCTATCTCATCATCATCTGAGTCTTCATCATCTTTCTCCTCTTCTACATGTTCATCATCTTCCTCAGTGCCATCACCACCCTCAGCTGTTTCAGCTTCTTCAGCCATAACCTCCTCAGCATTTCTAACGTGGAGGCTTTCCTCCATTTCATTCAAGTCTTGGGCACTTACTACAGCAGAGAACGGCACCTGGGTTGAGCACAGCAGCACAAGCAGGAGCCTTACCACCCAAAGTTTCACACGTTCCATCTCAGAAGAAATGCAGCTTTGGAACTTGAGGACTGTCTTAGTCTATTCACTTTATTCTTCCACCAAAAACCAAAACAGCCGATGGCTGCTAAAGCCGCAACTGATTTAGGCAGAGTGTTCAGGTCTTTTTCTCAGGCTCCCGAGAGACGGGGTGAAAATAACTGCTCACAGAGAGCAGTGTGCCAGCCTTGTGCTGAGAACACAAGAGGACACAGTGAAAACGCGACTGTGTGTGCGGTGTAGTTATGTCGCTGTATGTAAGTGAGTGACAGAGGCACATGTCGAAGAAGAATGCTCCTGATGCCCTTAACACAGAGCATTAGAGAGGTGGGTGTATGCCTTTGGTGGGTGGGGGAGGGGGCTACTCAACTGCAAGAGGGTGGGGAAAAATAAGTCACTTAAAAAAATGGAAAGCTTAATTGCAAAAATTAAATAATTTAAAGATGAAGTTTTGGTTCTATACACAGCTTTTGTTGTCATAGTTCCCAACCTATTCAGGAAAGAACTTTATAGATATACTGTGTGTGTGTGTTTCATTAGATTAATGGTTGGTGGATTTTTGGAGAACTCTTCTCACTGTCTCTTATATAATTTAATGCAAATAATAACCTTTCCAACACACTCTACACAGCAAAATTAATTTCTTCTTTCCAGTCCTGAAGCAAGTGAAAACATGTCAACATGATTTATGGCATTCGTGAACATACAAGGAAATGGAAAGCATGGCACTCTGAACATGTGGTGCTTTCCAAAATAGTCATTTGAACAACTGAATGTTTGTACTCATTTTTTTTTTTTTTTTTACTTTGGAGCCAGCAGGAAGAGAACACTTACATTTAGGAGCATTATAAAAGTCTACACTCACAGTGCCACAGTCAGCTACAATAAAGCAAAGAGCAGCCAGGCTGAAAGCGATGACACTGCCTCTCAGTGTGAACTGCTCCTCCTGCAACTGACAGGTAGCACGGCTAACTATTTACAGTGAAGGCTCCTTCAATAGCTTGTTCCAATATGTAACCTTCAATGGAGCCATGGAGGACTGAAACTCAGGACCAGCATGACAGTTCTGTCCAACTATCACACTCCCACCTTGTGTACATAAATTAAATGTATTTATTGATGGCAAATGGGAAAGTTTATTTCAACAAGTTCACTTAAATTATAACATTCAAAAACATTTTTTATTATTATCCTTTATTTATTCAAGTAAATAAAGAGACTAAAGAGACATTTGTATAAAAAACAAACTCAACAGAAACCTACATTTCACCCTTGGGTTCTTTTCCTTGTAGGGTTAATTAACCACACAGGCCTGACACAGTGGAATGAAGTTGACTTTGATGGGACTGAACAACATCTAAGACAGACCGAAGAATTTCAAGTATTTGTACTAACAAAGAAGCTGCACAATAGATAATTGTGTCATTTGCAAAAAAAAACAAACTCAATAGCAACCTACATTTCACCCTTGGGTTTTTTTCCCTTGTAGGGTTAATTAACCACACAGGCCTGACACAGTGGAATTTGTTCACTCAATCAGCATTTTGATTTTGTGCCAAGAACTAGATAAGAGAAGGAATTTTTTTATATAGTGCAGTCATGTGAAAAAGGGCGCAGTTCTTTCAGTTCTAAGAGTTTATGTATCAAATGTATAAAATGATGTAATCTTTAAAAATCTCTGCAATTATTTAAACAATCCAAATATCTACACTTTGGTCTCATCTGTTCCAGAAGTCTTGGGGTATGTTCAGATGCAACTTAAGCAATGGTGCCATGCTCCTTACAGAGAGAAGAGTTTTTTGCTTGCCTGGTAACACTTTCAAACAAGCCATACATTTTTCTAATTGTTCTGTCACAAATTTTGACATTTGACATGCTCACTGAGATATGTAGAGTCTGTGATGTAGGTCTTGGATTTTGTTTTTTAATTTCTGTCACTAGTGCACAGGGATTCCTCCAGTTTCCTAGAATCTTTTAATGTTACGTAGTAACACTGAGGAACATTATTCTGAAATCGCTCAATTTGTAAACAGTTTTTTGCTGACTGGTGAACCTGTGCCTATCTGTGTCGTGTAGTGTAGTTTTTCTAAGATGTTGCATTTGTACAACAAGCCACAGCGCTACAGTACATGCTTTGATAAGAAACTATTTAATTCATGATGTGTATGTTTGTTCAGGTTATTGTACTGAATATGATTCCTGTACTTTCTCCACTCCTGAGATGTGTCACAGTCAATGTACTTATTATTACCAATCTTTGGCTGAGCTATGCTTGGCTAACTTTTCACCTAGCTCTCAACAACAAATTATTCGGTACTCATAGTAAAAATCAATTCATTATAGTGCATGAAAACTTTATTAAAAAGAACTATATTGCAGACATACAAATATGGCACATTATGCAATGTAACAGAATGCAAAAAGTATTAATGGGCTCTTAATATAACCCCTGACAGACACCATGACAGGAAATCAGACTTTATTGTAAAAAATTCGACGAGGAGGTTTGAATGTGCTTCCTTGTGCTACCACAACCCAGTTGAGGACAGTTGAGTAATGCTCCATCTGAAAAGAAAGAGCATAATGTCATGAAAGTCTAGAATAGAATAAAGTAAAGGTATTTTTGTCTCCTACTGGAGAAAATGAACTTGAATAAGGAAACTGCATCATTAAAGGCATGCATGAGGCCAGCACAGCTTAGCTTAGTATAAAGACTGAAAGCAGATAAAACAGCTAGCCTGGCTCCATCTAGTGACCAAAATTCACCTTCCAGCCCTGCTAAAACGGATCTTTTATTTCTACTTTACTTAAAACATTTTAACCGATACACAACAAACCCACTGCCTGTTTTTAAATAAAGTTAGCATTACTTACCATAACCCACATTATTTCTGACCTCAGCCAACCCAGATTTTCCCCATATTCTACTTTTCTGTTATTATGCTAATCAAAGCTAACCTGCTATGTAGTGGTGTAACCTCTATATAAAATACTTTGACTGTGCAGACATGCTCTTTCACAGCATATGTATATATCTACATATGTATGAGGAATTAGTAAAAGGGTACTGAATGACAAAGTGAGAGGTTCAGAAAAATGCTTCTGTTTTACCTGAGCCTGTAGTCTGTGTTCAAACTCTCTGCTTTCAGTCAGATGTTTAAGCACATCATCTACCCTATATCAAAAAAATACAAAAATGCATTTACTTCACGATGGATCCATAATGGAATTTTGCAGCTACAGCGGTGCATGAAGGTGTGCTCACTTGGTAGATATCCGTTTGAGCCTTTCTGAGTCGCTGCTTTTCTGGATCTTGTTTCGAGCAGTCGGGAAGTCTTCCTTCGGAATTGTTTCCCATGTTGATAATCTGTTAGCTGCCTTTGTTTCTAAGTCTAACACTGATACAAAAACAAAATGCTTACCTTTTCATTTAGCCTTCATGTTTTCATCAAAGCTAAGCTGACGTCAGTGCACAAGTGAACAAGTGAACAATGAACCCTTTCTCATTTAGACGCTTAAATTTTGAATGATTTGAGTGATTTTGAGCGACAACAAGGGAGCCACTACTTAAAAAAACAAAATGACTCATTTGTAAATACCAACTAGAGTTATCCATTTTCATTCAACTGTGGCTTACTCACTCATTACTCCTTACACTTATTACTTTAAAGTAATAAAGCCATAACCTTATTAGCAATGAGCAGGATAATGAGCAGGATGTTGGTGACCAGGAGATATATGACTAGCAGAATCACTACCAGCCAGTTACTATCCTGATTTCTACACGGCTCTTCACCGCTCTCAATCAAAGTCACATTGTCTGTGCAGATTAGTTCTTTGCCCACTCTCACAAAATAGAGATAAAAGGAGAAAGGTAAAAAAAAAAAAAAAAAAAAAAAAAAAAAAAAAAAAAGTGGGGGGGTCTACAATTATAACAACGGCTCAATTTCTAATTGCTGTGGTGAATTTTAAAAAGCTGTACTAAATTGTTAAACTGATTTCAATGTAATGTTCTTATTTTCATGCAAATTGCACAAACACTTGTACCATCCATCTCTTCCTCGATGGAAGAGCCGTATCCAAAGATGTGCAAGTATGGCATGTAGAAAAAGCTTTAGAAAAATGCGATTCAGGTTTTGGTTGTAGGAGTAGATCAGAGCCTGATTGGCAACTCCGTACACCATGACCCACACGCCCAGGAAGAAGAGGAAATTGTTGTGTTATTGCTGGCATTGTATTATAAAACATGTGCCCCTCGTATAATGCCAACTGATAGTAACTGTCTCACCATCTTTCCTACAATAATGAGTTTTGGTCCTAGCTGCTTGTGAACTTCAAAAATGTGAATGAGGCGAAGGGTGACGACCATGTAGTCCAAACAAAGGACATCCCGGCCAAATTCATGTGACCGGTGGAACATCCTGAAACTCAAATGGTAAATGGCCTGTATTTGTATAGCGCTTTAATTAGTCCCTATGGACCCCAAAGCGCTTTACACTACATTCAGTCATCCACACATTCACACACTGGTGATGGCAAGCTACATTGTAGCCACAGCTGGCGAGGCTGCCGGACACTGGCGCCACCGGGCCCTCTGACCACCACCAGTAGGCAACGGGTGAAGTGTCTTGCCCAAGAACACAACTGTCGGAGCCAGGGCTTGAACCGGCAACCTTCCGATTATAAGACAACTCTCTTGAGCCATGATCGCCCCAAACGCAAGCATAGTATCACTCAATCAGTTAGGTAGCACCACCACCTGATGGCAAACCTGTAAATTAACCTGTGACATTTGGTTGCTAATTGAGGAAATGTTTTTGATTATGTTGTGGAAACGTTAACAATAACCTGCAACACACCCAGTGAGTGTTTTGAAATAATTTAATTAACACATTGCAATGTGGAGAAAACGTTCAGATCAAACACCAAACAGTTTTCTGAGGAAGGAGACTGCCCTGAACTATTTTACACCTTCCCAAACACTCTCAAAACAAAGAACATTCCATAGCATATCATATATCTCTATACCTTCAGTCCAGCTCCTCCTTGACCCCCTCCCTCACAGAGAGAATAATGACCTTGTTTTCTGCTTGACCGTCACCTAAGGATTTACATCCCTGATAAGCAGAAGGCGCCTCACTATCTGTTTAACATCTCCAATTACAATGTCCCCACTGTGTTAGTGTGTGTGATAGAGCATAAAGCCCATTTGTAGTGCACATGCATACAACTA